TTTTTGTACCCGAATCCCTAAAAAAACCCACAACTAGAGTATACCCACGCACCTACCCGCTGTACATTTTAGGTTTTACTCTGGGTTTACATTCTCACTTGGATCTTAGTGTAAACTTTTCCTTTTGATCGTTTCCATGGTTTACCTTTATAAGTAGCCGCGCATAGTGTGTTTACAGTAGACCTTCCCCTCCTTGTCGCAGGTAAACTTATTCTTCGTGTTGCTGGTTTACCGTGGCAGCGGATCTGAGGGTTAACGTTCCTGTAAACAGTTTACTCATACATTTGTTTCTACTCACCAACGTATTTAAGATGTACTCAAAGGGTTAAACCAACATCCTCAAAGAGTTAATTCAATAATATTAAAGTGTTAAACCATTGTCCTCATAGAGCTAAACCAACGTAAAGTTTAAACCACAATCATCAAAGGGTTAAATCATCAACACTATCAAAGGGTTGAGCTATGATCCTCAAAGGGTTAAACTAATATAAAAATATATGTGTAAATCTGTTTTTTAAGTTTGTCTATAAATCTGTATAAATCTGTGGTTTACATTTATTGATATAAAGTGTGCGTGTATTGGCAGACAGGTTAAGTGTTCTCAATTAATTTTTTTACTGTATTTAAAGTACTAATCTTTTGTTGTTATTAAAATAGTTTGTCATAATTCATCTAAATTATTATCACATAAACGTTTTTTTCTTTAATTCGGTGATTGGGACTATATTTGGTGTTCTCGTTTGACTTATTTTTTTCACTAGGATGACCAAGGGACATAACTATAAGTACTAGCTCTAGCATATCCCTGAGCATGGGTAGTGGTAGTATGTGATGTAAGTAGCAAATGGTGGTTGTTGACCTTCGTGTTGGTAGCGGTTAGACAGCCATAAACACCAGTAGTGTAGTCGACCCTAGCGTTTACTGCAGCAGATAGCCTTAATACCAAATAGCAGTAGCTCACTTCAACACTGATAGCTGTAAACACCCAGTTACGGTGGCTAACTCTAGGGCTGTTAGAAATAATTTTTCTTAAGTGCTAGGAGGCTTAAAACTGCTGTAAAGCCGCATACTGTATTTCGCTTCGGAAACAGAGCTAACAGTACGGTAGCATTTCAGGTGCTTAGCGTCCAGTTAGCGCGCTAAAAGTATGACGGTACAGTTTTTTGGCATTGTTAGGGAATTAAACAACACTAAACTCTCTTAGCGTTTACGGAACTTAGTGATTAGGAAACGTTTACGGACCAGCGTAAAAATAACGTTGATGGAACTAAGCGATGAAGTTAGGTTTGTGGATCCCTGCGCTACAGTGACAGCGGTGACCAGCGTGGAAGAAATGTTTGTCGAACGCGAAGCTTAAGAAATGTTTACTTAAATAAGCATTATTGTATCAAAATAGAGATTGCGGAACTTAGCGCTGAAATTGAGACCATGAACGTTTGCAGAATTTATTATTAAAGTAACATCTGCGGTAATTAGCGTCAAGTAACAGTTTCTCATTCACGGCGCTGTTCTTGACGTCCACGTAACGAGGGTGGTAGATCAATCGCGATGTGCCTCACGTGAGCTGGAGGTACCTTACATTGAGCTATGCTAAATTTTTTAGAGTAGATTTTTAACTTGTGAAATTTTACGATATGCAAATACAGTATTAGCTTTAAAAAGAGGGAGGGGTGAAATATCATACATTATATTAATAGACTGTCATGATCCCACTCATCGGAAAACCAGATTGTGACATGTGTAACCAACATGTAAATGACGCTCCAATGTAATCAGTGCGGAAATGAAATCCAATCGCGAAAGTAAAGACGGGTGTACATAATCAAGCGGACGGTTGCCATGTACCACCCCGGAGCACTGGAGAACTTGTGAAAATAAGTTAGGATAAACAAAAATAAAACTGTAAGGGTAATATATTACAGAAGAAAAAGCAAAATATATAGTAAGAATGAAATTTTTTAAACTTGTACCTCAGGTACGCAACATTGTTAAAAAAGATTGAAAGATTGCCTTGATAATTAAAGCAAATCAAATATATATATATATATATATATATATATATATATATATATATATATATATATATATATATATATATATATATATAACAGCACAAATGTTATATAATGGAGGAAGACACAGACTGCCGGAGGACTGTGAGAGCTGCGCCATCATTGAAACACATTCAACATTGCCTCCGTGAAAATTAAAACAACGGATATACATTATCGCTGGAATAAAACGGTGAATGTGTACCATGGTGCAAATAAAACAGAATACCATGGACAGTAGAACGCAATGAACCTCGACCCAGGCGGGAATAATGTAAGCTCATTATCCGTGCTTGTTAGTGATGAGGAGATGGCGTTCCCTTTACTCACTCATATATTTATTTAGTTTGTTTATTCACATATCTTCTTATTTTTGTTATGCCCTTGTGTACTGTAGGACTCACCCGAAATTGTTGGGTGTATAGATCCGTATCCTCTGTGGGATGGCGATTGGGTAATTATGTGGGATAAAACAAGATTATCCACAGCTCAAAGTTACACATTGCTGCTGGCACGATAGAGTTTCCGCTAAGGGTACCAGAAGGTTGTGTGTGGGAGAGAGAACATCTCCCATCTCCTCCCATGCTGAGGGTACCAGAGGGCTGTGTGTGGGAGAGAGAACATCTCCCATCTCCTCCCATGCTGAGGGTACCAGAGGGCTGTGTGGGAGAGAGAACATCTCCCATCTCCTCCCATGCTGAGGGTACCAGAGGGTTGTGTGTGGGAGAGAGAACATCTCCCATCTCCTCCCATGCTGAGGGTACCAGAGGGCTGTGTGTGGGAGAGAGAACATCTCCCATCTCCTCCCATGCTGAGGGTACCAGAGGGTTGTGTGTGGGAGAGAGAACATCTCCCATCTCCTCCCATGCTGAGGGTACCAGAGGGTTGTGTGTGGGAGAGGCGACACCTTCCATCTCTCCTCTCGCACGAAAGCTCTTGAAACGATTGTTTTGATGTCATATTTATGTGTGAAAAGCATGATAGATGAAGACTACACTTACCACGTGCGTTTGACTGTGTTCATTTGTTTAACCTATCAAGTAGACCAATAACAAAATTTAGTTTGGTGGTTGATTCTGGAGAAATGATAATTAGAAATAATAAATTAGTACAGTGGAAACAAAACTTTTCTGAGTTAGCCGTGTTATACTTGTGATTTTTTTTTTTTTTTTTAACCAGTCTGGAGACATGTGGTGTGACCCTGACGACTTGTGTGTTGAGAGACGAGCGAGCATGTCACCAGTGCTCCCGTAAAGACCTTAGTTGTTGAAGCACAGCAATACAGTGCATAATTATAATCTCCAAGTTATTCTCTAAAATGTATATCTTAACCAATTTGTATCAGTTGTAGTCTAGTGAAGAAACTAATCTTTTGTTCTGTCCATATAGACCCAAGACGGCGAAGCACTCTAGCGCGACACTAACAAACCGCTCCCGTCTTTCTTATCATAGTTGTAGTCCAGTCTTTGAGCTGAATTAATTTACTTGTTTATAAGTTTCAATTGTTCAGGCACAGAGATACATACAAAAAGTTACCCCGATCATGATCTTAGAATGTTATTAAAGGTAAAACATCCTCTAAAAGGTAAAACATCCTCTACTCTTCTCCGGCTCTTGTAATATTTTTTTTTTATGGAAAATCTTCCTCTTACTTCATCTTGTCATCGAGTGTTTATTTCACCGGTAACTGAACACTGGCGGGGACATTTACTGTCTAGCAGCAGGTTGACTATGACTCCACTCTTCTTAAACTTTGCCGACGCAGTACGTAACGCAGTGGTGAATCTTTAAATTGGCGGTCAAAATTAACGGCATAGCAGCGGCGCGCCGTGGTGAACCCTGCGGTAATACCAACATTAGGTAATACAGTTCAGTATAGGCAACGGATATACTGTATAAATATGTAAATGTTCCTTTTCATTAATGTAAGGTATGTTCAGATTTAATGGAAAAAGTGTTATTGAAGGATTTAATCTTTTGAAATATTAAACTGATTTCTAGAGAAGTCGGTGTCAACACTAAAATTAAAATATATCTGTGATACACATTTTCACCCGGGTGCTGTTGTATAGTGTTATATAGCTTAGATAAATGTCTGTGAAATTACACCGTTATTCAGAGGTTTTGTTGTGAACATGAGTAGGCCTAATGGTGTGAGTGCTCCTTACCTTAGATTTAATGAAGTTATATTTATTATTTTTTTAAATTTCTGAAGACCGAAAGTGCACGTACGCTTCACTTTCATAATACAGTATTTCACCATTACGCAAGAAACGGTGTTTTTGTGAGGCGGTTCAGTGCTATTGTAATAGGCTGGCGTTGTCGCAAGCCCACACGTGAAAATATTTGTTCCTTTTATTGCTCGCCATTATCCCGTAATGTTATATTTGGTGATAACCTTTATTGTCTGATATTATTTAAGATTATATTGCCCAAGTGTATTGTATAAATCACTGAATATTTCTTTATTATTATTATTACTATAATTTTTATGTGGGTAGTTTTGTTCTGTTGGTATTATGTGGTGGTAATGTGATACATGTTTGGTGATGTAATTTTTGTTATCATTTTAGGACTCCGGCATTACATGATTGTAATATGTCGCCATTTTTAAGACCACATATTTTTTTAATTGATGTATTAGCTTAGTAACTTGATCGGTTCATCAAGTATTGTGGTATAATGGTTAACTTCAACGAAAAATAAATATATCAATATCGAAAAAAAAGTTGTAGATGTTATAAGTTGGGTGGTTGACCTTAGTGTTGTAAAAAAAAAAGTTATTATCTTTGGCTGTTATTTTAGTCAAGGCACTGAATTTTTGGGTTAAGTATTGAGTGTGATATTTGTGATATTAAATGTGGTTGTGGTGTGTATAATGTATTATTGTGTGGTAGTACTGTGTGGTTGTGGTATATGGTGTTAATGTAAGGTGTTTGGTTGTTACAGGTGGTGGCGCGGGAGGGCAGCAGCAGGATGGAGGTACTGGATGGCCGCCCGGCTCCCGCCAGCCCGGACCATAGCGACCCACAGTCACACCTCAACATGTACGTCAGTCACTGTTCGAGCGTCATGTTGCTTGTCTAGTTATCTCCATATACCTATCACTAGGCCTTTTACGGTACTTTAAGTTATAGTACAAGTAAGGGGACAAGTTAGTCTTACTATCTTGCCGTAGAAGTTGATAGTAAGTTAATAGCCAAATAAGCGTTTAGAATATTTTGTTGTGAGGGAAACATGTTTACTAGCCATCAGAATAAGAAGAAATAAATTGTTCTTAAAACATCTCGGGCCTTATCACCGTGTGCCTCATCTTAATATGTCAGAACTCTGTGGAAATGAATATGCAAATTATGTTTCAATTTGAAAGTCATATTTCAGTATGTAAGTCACTCTTCTGTATATATACTTTATAAGTCACCCCTTGGGCCGCGGTTATCACTGAGCATGCTGCCATGTCTCGTACTGGCAGTTGGGGATTATTAACACGTTTGATCATAGAGTGAGCCTTCTCCACCGTGTAAACGATTGCTCGTCTATGTATCTAAAACAACATTTCATTCAATTTTCAATTTCAATTGTTTATTCCTTGATAGAGGAAGCAGGATCCTAGTGCTGTCACTAGGTACCCCTGTACAGTGACACCAGAAGCATCTGGCAAGTGTGACAAGTATATACAGTATAAATATTATAAAGGGGCTTACTAAAGCCTAAGGAAGGAAGGATATTCCTTTAACATATAATCAATATTATTTACAAAATATCTGACCAGTATGGGGAGGATCATCGTGTCTCCGTCAGGGGGTCGTGGAGTGGTGGTCCAGCAGGCGTTGTGTGTGGGGACATCTTAGGAGGTAGTGAATAAGGGTGCTGCTGTCGGGTAACATTTCATTATAGGATTCTTTTTTTTCTCTTTTTACTTTATAACGTATTCCCAATTTTTGCATTTGTATAATATGATTCATCTAACCATGAGGAGACTTTTAGGGGTGACATCTCTCTTGTCTTCTGAGACTTTGATGCATAAATGATATACAGGAGAGCCGTCATCCTTGGCTTTCTACATGCATAATCAGATAGGGTCATTTGATTCAAGTTTTTGGCTTAACTCAGGAAATGGTTTGGTTTGGAACAAAATATATCCCTTTACTGTATTGGTGGAAACAAGTACAGCTTAACTCATATGATTCTTATTTTCAGACTTAACTATTTATAATTTCATTAAATTTCTTAAGTAATTTTTACACCAATTTTTCTATTTCAGTTTAAAATGCGTTTTTTTAAGTCACAACATCAAACAATTATAACGTGTCCTACAGTAAACCTAATAAAAGACATTGTAGTATATGAATATTTATTTATGTCCCCATGTCTGCCCAAATCATTGTGATCTTGCTTAGATTAGGACAGTACTAATTTATCTTTAACCTTAGTATTGTTGTTAAAACTTCCTGTATGAACGTCCTTCAGTTTTGGTTTCTGTTGCTCATATTACTGAAGTGTGTATTACTAGTAGTTAGTTACACAGACAGTCAGGGATGGCCAGATAATTTCTTCAAAATCAATTTCACACCCATTTCTCATTAACTGTATAGAATCTAGAGTACTATGGTGGCCCTTGTTACTTAGTTTGTGTAACAAGTGGTCGTTAGATATGGTTGTTGTGTTAAGTTAGTTTGGCCCAATATTTAAAAAAAATGGAGAATTCTATGCAGCATATATGATTAATTATAGCCTTAATAAATGGTGTATTGTCTTCTTTCTTGTCGTCTCTGTATTTAGACAACAGTAATCACTGTATTATTTCACTCATTCTTGTTTAGTGAAATAGATAGTCTGCATAGTTTTCTCTGATCTATACAAGAAGTAAGTTACTTTTGAAGCATGAAGAGTACTGTAGTTATTAATCTATGTGATAATAATGGCGGTTTGTCCTCTTAGGGGCGGTGTAAGTCCCCCAGAGGGGCCCACTCCCCCTGCCCCCCCGCCGCCGCCGCCACAACAGCAGCCACAGTCCGACGGCTACTGGAATATGCACCTTGAGGTGCTCAGGTCAGGCTCCTACACCATATGCCTGTATCTGCTACCTGGCTTTATGGAGCTTCCCCGTTACTGCTATTTGCCTAATGCCGAATTATTTCATCCCTAGTGGTCACATAATTTTTATTTACTTGCTTGTAATTGCTCCTTTACATTTTGTCTCACCGACCAAAGGCCACACCATTTTTATCAGCCACCACTTGGCCCTACTCATACCTCAGTCATATGGCTGCTGTTACTGTATATCCCTTTCCCTGGCTACTGCTACACCCTTCACCAGGTCATTACTGTAGTCTACCTTTCTCGTCATCGCTTTGGCTATGCTGCCATTACTTTATATGGTCAATTGGTTCAGTCTCCCCTAGACAGTAGTTTTCTCTCTAATTTGTTAAGTATTTTATGCATTGTAGTTGCATGTGGTTTCTTACTAACCCACTAATATTTCACAAGCTGCATGGACAACTGTGAATAAAATGAAGCAGTAAATAATGTTGTACTTAGTATAAAACTCTTCCTTACTTATGCAGTCGTAGGAATAGTCGAGTGTGTTTTGTTTATCAGTGCAAACTACTTATTTTTAGTTTGTTTTGTGATGATTTTTGGCACAGTGAAAACCTTGAAAGTTGTCATTTTTTATTTAATCTATTTGTTTTATTCTGGTAGACAATTAGGTGGTATATCGTATTATTTGTTAGATAACTTCAGTTCTTCACATAATGAGACAAACCCAGTGATAATACGCAAATATATTTACTAGTTAGCAGGAATATTAAAAAAATTACAATACATTATCATTAATAATATAAAGGTGTTAATTTAATGATAGTTAATTTCACTTGTTAACAGTCGCATTGTAATTAGTTAGGGAATGACCTTCGCATAGGGAGAGGTACTGTATACTGTACATTGTTCCATATAACATTAACTGTGAGTCTGTAAGTGCTGTACCACAGAGTACAGTATTATGGTTATCAGCCTTATGCTTAAATGTGTTACCGAATATGTAGTGACACTTTTATTTTAGTATGTGCACTTGTACAGGCAAAATGAGACTGTTTTGAATTATACTGTAATATGTACTGCATGAATTGGCTCAAAAGTTGCCTGTTTTGTTTTGATGTATTGAAATATATTACAGTATACTGTACTGTATGCAGTTTATTATCGAAGTTTATGTTTATATATATATATATATATATATATATATATATATATATATATATATATATATATATATATATATATATATATAGTAATTATACAGTAAATATAATACTGTGCAGTACAGTACGGGTACTTGAAAATAATTACAGGTGCTGCTTCAGGTACTATACAGTGCTGTACTGTACTGTACTGTACAGGTATATACTGTACTGTACAGTAATCCACAACCGAGGCCATGCATACAGGGCAACATGAAATAAATATACAGTAGTAATATTTTAATAGATATTGGTATTTTGTGGTATAAAAACATTTATACTGTACTACAAAGATGAAAAGTAATTTATTTCTATATATAGAATGAAAACGACTTTCTTGACACACTGAATAGGGAACATTATCCATAATAAAAGACTGTATCCGGTATCCTTACCATACCTCAGTTCCTATTTGAATTTCTAGTTACAGCCTTTCAGTGTATATGAATGATAAAATAATTGCCCTATTGTCCAGCCTGATGAAATAATGCTTTATCACAAACCTGTCATTGAACTGAGACCTTTGAAGTGTTAACGTAGGGCACAGTACTGTCACACCTGCTGGCCCAAGTGTTGCTCTTGTTGAAGGGACAAATGATTCTTTGCTTTGCTAAATTGACAGTTATTGCAGAGAAAAATAGGAATTGAGGGAAAACTGGAATAGATCATGATCCTTTTACTGAAATCTGTTGATAGTATCTTTGAATAAGACAAACTGTACATGACACTGAAATGAAAAATAAAATTTAGGCAAAAATATCTTCATGTTAAGTGTTTAAATTAAAAATTCTTGTAATTTTTTTGAGTATAAAACGAAGACTATGTTTGAAAAGGGGTATAGGTGGAAGGGAGAATACAAGAGGATTTTAAAAGCTACTCCCTAGTCAGAACTATTACATTGATTCATATTTAGTTGTGGTAATTTTGGAGATGCAGAGAATGAAGAGATTAGGAAAATGATTTTGTATCTATGGCAATACAGTACAGGGTACTATACTGTACACTGTACAGTATCTATAATTTTTTTTTTTAATATGCAGGATGTCAGCAGACCTGCTGGGAAAGATATTTTGCTTCTTTTGAACAGAATTTTGTATAGTACAGTCCAGGTATTAGTAATTTGATTTTGATACCACAATGGTGAATGAAAAATTTATTGAATTAATGTTGGTGAGCATGGCTAGATTGACAAAAGAAATTATTGGAAACGAATTCTTTGTTCCAAAGATTATTTTAAAAGCTTACAAAACAACAGTGCATCTGTACCTCAAGGTATATTAGGTGTTTAAGTTTTCTCTATAATGCACTACAGTACATACATACAAGTAAGCTTTAATAATAAAATCTGTCAATAGTAATTAGGGTTTTTGTCATTATAGAGGTTGCACAGCATTGCTCTGCTCAAAGGTCTTCCAATGAATGATTTCAGCTAAAAAAGTTATTGGAAATTTAACACAAACTTTGATCCCAAAGTATATGTGTTAAACAGTTTTGTTAATTGATTCACCATAACTCTTGGTGTTGTCTTCTACAGCTGAATGTTCGTAACAGATACATTGTAAGGTCCAACTCTTTGTGTTCTTTTTCATTGTTGGGAAGAATCTTTTGAGCATCATTTGATATATACAGTATGTATCTGTATTACAGTATGTAGTACATGAGGAAAACGGTTATTTTAATTTTAGTTAACTAGCAGTGATTATAGAAGAAATATGTACTTTATATTCAGCAGGGTAATTTGGGAGAAAAAAGTAAAAAGTTCCAATGGCCCATGCGTAAGTTGATTCATTGATACATGAAATTTAGCAAGGAAATTCTATCCTATGCCTTTCTGTGGAAACCCATCAGGGAGAATTAAATCAAATTTCAGTGTGCATGTATTTATTAGGATGCTTTCACTCTTCATCAGACTTTCCGAAACTCAATTATGTCAAAAAGTCGTGAAATGTTGAGAGGTGTGTTATACAGCCTCATTTATTGTTGTATCTCTTTTATTCTGTGTTATCGGGTATTGTGTTATTTCTGTTATGTGATATTAACTCAAGCACAGTATTTTGTTTCAATAAATTATTTATGTTTTAGCATTAACCTTGCTTTATCTCCATATTAGTCTTGGGCCATAATATGTTTGCATGTACTTAATGTTTATTTTTTTTCTTTAATGAAACATGTTAGCATTTAATTTATTGACTAATTTGTCTGCTGAAAGTCTCGTCTGCATGTAGTGTTCCTGCAGCCTATCCTTGGGAAGTAATGCCTGTTTCTAAGGATATACTGTATACAGTACTGTACAATATAGCTATTCCAAACATATAATGTCTATTTAAGATTTTTTGAAGATTACAGTATGTCAGTACTTTATAAGGAGTGGACTCAATTTATTATTTAATTATAAAAATAAAAATTTCTAACTGTTGTTTGTTTCTTACAGCAAGTTGAAGGGTGAAGTGAAAGACTGGTATGAGGGTGACTCCCTAGATGCTGGGCTGGGGCAAGGTGGGGGTGTAAAACAGGAACAGGACCCCTATGCACCTTACTCACACCTGCATCAAAGTCACCCAATGACCCCAGAATCCATGCATGCCACGTCACTCAATGGACCACATAATGGGCCACTCGGCGGCCCTCACAACGGACCTCACATGGGCTACCCTCTTCAACAACAAACCCAGCAACAGCACCAACAACACTATCAGGGCTACCAGAGTCATCCTGGGATGGGTGACATGGCTCCAATGTCCCCAGGCTATCAGGGCCATCCAAGACCGCACCCACAACAACACATGAACCAACAACACATGGGGCACCATATGGGTCAGTATCCTGACCAACAACATGGGCAATATGGTCAGTATGGCCAGATGGGAGGTCATATGGGTCAGGGAATGCAAAGTCACCCTGGTCATGAAGGGCCCCCTGGCCGAGAGGGTGATCCCTACAGTTTTGTGGATGAATATAGCGGCCCACCACCCAGACCTGTCGAGGAAGTCCTTGGACAAACCCAGCCAAAAAGAAGAGGCCGCAAACCAAAACATATAAAACTTATGGAGAATGGGTAAGTCTTTTGTTGCATGTTTTTTTCTAAAATAATATTTTATTATTGTCTATAAAAATAGAGAACTTAAAAGATAAGCATAAATGTAGGTGTGGTTTACATATGTGTGTTTTTTAAATTCAGTACTGTATAGGTAATTAAAATTCATGGGGTGCAGTTGAGTGGATACAGCACTCACCTCTTGTCCCAAGGGTTGCTGGTTTGATCCTTGGGCACTCCAAGTTTGCCCATCTGTAAATGGTTCCCTAACTTGTAAAGTTAGGGAAGCGAAGGTGGTTGAGTGCAGTGCCAGCCACACTGCCCTCTTGTGAATCAAAAGCTTAATATAGTGTGATGTAATCATGCATCTGGGCTCCACTTTCACTCTTCAGTTACAAAACACACACAGGCACACACATCATTAAAGAATCATCTCCTTTGAGGTTATGAAATGCAGAAGGGATATGTTTATGAAGATTTATGGTACAGTACAATATATCAACAAAATAAAAGGAATAGAGGAAAATACTAAATCAGAGCAGAATATGAGTTAGAAAATGCTTGTTCCTGTTAGATTTTTATTATACTGTACCAAAAGATGTTTTGCAGACAGAAAACTTGTGCACTTCAATGTTCAGTATAGCTATGCAGTAAATTTCCTTTGAAAAATTGCAGAATGTACTGTGTCTTTCATGTACGTATGTCAAATTCTATATGACACTTCACTGTAATTGTCTTGAAATGTAGATGTTGCCTATTTATGTTACAAATGCAAGGACTTTCTACCATAATTTTATATTTAACATCATCTTTTAATGGGACTTGAGGAGCAGCCCTAGGCAGGACCATTCCCAATCCTTTTGTCACTTTCCATCTTTATTCTTCAAATGCTAAACATTCCATGTAGGTAATTCCTTAATATTCGTTCCAGTTATTGTACATGTGCTGTTGGTTGTAAATGGTTGCTTTCAATTATAGTTTGAAATTTTTTATTATTTTGGTGATGGTTGACTATATCTATCTTTGATTATGTTTTGTGATCATGCTTAGGTTCCCAATATTTTTTAGTGATACTTTTTAACTTGATGATTGACTACAGTATATTCTTGTTCCATTCATACAACAGTTTACTCTAAATTAGTTTTAAAATACATCATAAAACAGTAAAACCACACTGCTTCAAACTACAGGTATATGAGATTATGGTTGGGTTGAATTAACTAATAAGAATCAAACACCACTGGCCTTGGTGGACAGGGCAGAAGGTTGGCTGTGAGGGGAAGTGGGCAGTGTGGGCAGGCAGTAGGTTGGCAGTGAGGGAGGTGAGTAGAGCAGCCCAGAAGATTGATAGGTAGGAGTGCTGGGTAGGGCAGAAAGTGGGCAGTGAGAGTTGGTGTGCAAGGCAGGTAGTTGTCAATGATGGTTGGAGGGCTGGGCAGATTGATAGTGCGAGGTTAGTTGCCAGGGTCTTTAAGGGCACCCTAAGACTAAAGTGATGGGGGAGGCTGCACACCCTCATTACTCTCTCTGAATATGCTTAAACAGTACAGTATATTGTATACTGTATCTGAAAATGGAAACTATTAATATGTTCAAATAGGTTAATGGCTCTGTGGTCCAAACAACAAACCTCACATTCCATCCACGAGGTGAGAATGGATCCTGGACCTATCCCCGGAGGGCCAGGAAAACACGTAATCATCGAGTGGTCTGGGTCCAGGTGCTCGGTACTTAACATGATGAATATTTCTCATGGATATGTAAGATTGCCCTAATTGGTTAAGGTTAGCTAAATCACAAAACATGACATTAAAATTACACTTAGACGACATAAACTAGATACATTCACTTAATACCAAATACCGGTAACCCCATCCTGTTGAATATAGTAACACTGATTTACGTTGAGAAAATTTGATTTATTTTATTTATTTTTTTGTAATATCATTGGAAATGTTGTAAACTTCCCCAAAAGTGAAATTATATTATAATTATCATTTGAAGGTCCTGCACAGCATTCAAATGTCCCACATGTTAGGCAACATGATGCTATCTTCTTACAGAGTGAAAAATTCGTGTTGTGTTTGTATGCTGTGGCATTTGTTACACTAATTTTGATATTTACACACAAATAACGTTGTTTACACATGCGGTATCTTCACTAAAATACATTTTTCGAAAAATAGGAGTGGAATGCAAGGTGGCACGCACTCAGTCAGTGAGGTGGAGGGAGTGGCGGCATGTTTACAGTATGTGATCTCCTGGTTTTGTTCATTACTTCCTTGCAATAATACACCTTATATGTATATGTGCACTCATGTTTCTTGATGAATAATATTTACACACTTTACACTGAGCATCCACTTACCACCATACTCTCAACTTTAAACATGAGTGGACAAATTCATATTCCAAATTCAAGGATATTGAAATCTAGAAATAGTTGGGGTAGTCAGCATCACCATCACCCAGCAGACTAAACATCATTTCTAATATTGTGACAGCCCTTCTGAGTCATAAAATAACTTCCTAGAGTCACTTCTAAGTTTGAGTCATAAAACAGCTTCCCAGAGTCACCTTCTGAGAGTCAATGTTTGCTCTTCATACCTGAGGCAATACTGGCTGCATATTATCACCTCCTCTGGGCACCCATGTATAGGCCTGGAATTATCAATTAGTCATTTTTAATTTTTAAATTTTTTTCAAATGAATGACACAATACTGCTCTGCTTGGTAGCCTGTTTCTGTATGGGGATAATGATGAAAGGGTCATGGGAATAGAATAGTGGTATCAAATCTATCCAATTATTTTTCACCATTGTTGGAAAAGTGGAGGGACAGCAGCAGTACTTCTTGGGGCAACCTTTGTATCCTTGAGGGAGAGTGGAGGTAGGAGTGAGGCTCACATTACAACCTTATACTACTACCCACACACCCTCCCACAGTGCCACCCACAATGTTATGCCATTACCCACATTACTGCACACATCACAGCCACTTCCCACAACTTTAAGTCACTACCCATGCCACCCCACACTGCCACACACACAGTACAACCTTATGACACTACCCACATGGCCTCTCACTATGTTACCCACAACAAATCCTGTTATGGATGCGCAACAGAGAGAGCTGCCATCTGGTGATCATGGATAACCCTCGCAGTCGTGGAAAATTGCAGTAAAACAATGATGATGTATACTCTGGCCTCCTCTGTGTCTTATAGTTCATTCTGGGAATTGTTGTTATACAGTACATCCTCTGCTGCCTCACCTTAGATCATTTCATTGCTGCATTAGATGTAGAGCACTGTTGTCAGGGTATCCCTCCATGCCTCCCCTCACCAATATGGACGTGGGCAGAGGAAACCAGAGGTGATGAGGAACTGTGAATGTGTACTTCTGCCTTGGCAGGTGTAGCACTACCTACTTTTATTTGAGTATAATTTTGTTGGGGAGAATGTGAACAAGTCCATGGCTTGGGTGCTGGTGATGTTTGTTGTACATGTACTGTATCATGTCGACTATGAACTATGATCCAAATTTCTCTATAGGTTCAAGTGCCACCAGTGTCATAGGTTTTACAATCTCAGAATCCAACTCTGTTTTTTTCATAAGTATAAGGTCCATAAATATTGCAGTTATATCATGGCAGCTACAGTATCAGGTCAATTACCATGATGTGTTGGGGGCTAACTTTTTTGTATAAGAAATTTAAAATAACTTTTGATGTTATCTGCACTGCTGCTTTATGTGGAGACTGAGCTTAAACTGCACACCTATGTGCCAGGCTCCATATATATGGGTGGAAGAGGCATATGTGCTTACCATGTGAGAGATTTCAGACTACATGTACTTGGCCTTATATGAACACAGATCAATTATCAGGAAGTTGCTTGGAATTTCAGATTCCATAAATTTGCTCAGATTACAGTATCAGAAATTCATATAATATAGTTGGGTTTTAATTATTGTCGTGAGATAATACCCACACAGTATAATGAATAATTTTTTAAGTTCATCAAGTTGTGAAAGATTTTTAGGGTAAAATGAAAATACTGCTCTTTGATTACTCCTTTGCATACAGAATCACTCAACCTGTTTTAAATGGTACAGTATATATTTTATCCTATTGCTTTAAAGAGTATCATCTAGGCAGATTTTTAATAAGCCTTAGCATCCACCACCCATAAATTGACCCCAGTGTACTGTATAACACAATTCAGTTTTAGATTACATGGCACAGCTACACCGACGTTTTTACTCAAGGTCGACCTTATTATAGCAGACAATACTCCCTATCATACACAAAGAGTCCCTCTAGCACATCTTACCACATTAAACCTCCATATCAAAAACCACACCTCAGTACTGTACATACATCCCCAACCTACTATACATACGGTATATATATCTTGCTGTCACTCCCTCTCTCTCTCTCCAAAGTGAACTTGGTCTTGCTTAAACTGGACATAATTTGATGTATTCTCTTACCTCACATAATCAGTAAGCCTTATCCAAAAAGAATACCAAACATCTCTATGACTGAATAACTGGTCATTGAATTGTGTCTATCAGTTTAGTTTTTACTATGGTTAAGTATTGCTTTATGATAAAATAAGAGAAAGGGTTTTAAGCCCTCTAATTGTACATTCTAATACAATACTGTATTCATAAACAAAATGTACACGGTCTCCAAACCTGTAGTACTATCGTAGTACAGTACTATAATACTGTATACTGTACAGTGTCCACCTAATGTTGTATCATTTATTGTGGTAGTCATTTGTAACATAGATTTTTCATTACATATTTCATTACATGTTATAATTTTAAAGATTTTCTTCAGACTTTGTAATGTGATTGTGAAGGAATTGTGTTTTTCATAATCAGTCAAATTAATGTCAAGCACTAACGTCCGTAAGAACTTACAGAATTCTGTTGAATTTAGTGGCAGCCATATTTTCCCTTCAATTCAAACACTTAACATGTTAAGTTAGTACAGTACAGGGTATCTGTTTTATTACTTTTTCATCATTTTATTAAATACATTGACCTAATTTACATGAAATGAAATTTTAACTGTAACATAGTAGAGTGTATAATGTTTATTTTAAAGCAAAGGTCATTGTCATGATAGTGTTTTAACAGGTTAAACATTATTGGAACATTGAGACCAGTGTCTGCACCCCATTCTTAGTTGTGAACACAAGTGACAGTAACATTTTAATTTTGTTTAAATATTTATATTTATTTTTCATAGGTTCACATGAGTGAGTATTTAACACACTTAAATGTTCAGATAATCAGTATGAGAACCACATTCTTATGGCAGAGAAAGACTTACAGTATTGCCACATTTGGAATGACCCTTCCTTAACATGGATGAAGTGTCTACCTAGACACAAGGCAACACTGACTCTTAACAACTCCACTGTTGTATGAAGTGTATGTATTGCACCATTGTCCTTCACAAATCACCAAAGAGATCAGTCACATGTGGTGAGATACAGACTTTGTGGAAGTCTCAAATTAGAACTGACAAATTAATGGATTATTGATTAATCTAACTCTTGTTCAGATATTCTCATATGATATCAGATATCCAGCCTGTTAAACCACAGAATAAACCAGATACTTAGCATCTGCTGATAAGTTGCCCTGTTTATTGAACCATCAAGGAAATAAGGCCCAATTAGGTGCTTATTGTCCATGGCTGTCCACATCAAAACAGTTCACAAGTAATGACGATGATACTGATGTGAATTTTAAAAACTAAATGGCCACTTTTATGTGATTTCTTTAATATAAATGGCAAATTTATCTCTAAAATTCACTTTTCTGTGAAGGGGTATCTCAGGAAACACTTCAAGCACTCAAACAAGCATCATATGTCAAAGAGTTTTCTTTACAAGTTTAGTGACAAACACGGGATAGGAGAAAACGCGCCTTTAAATTCAATTTCTTGCACTTAAGCAAAGTTGATCTAGGGATACCAAGTTCTATAGAACCCATAATCCAGGTAATAATTACAACACATTCCTTAATGGTGCAATTTCCTGTGTCATGTGACATAGTGATGAATTTTTCACATGAACCAGAAAAAACAAATTAAGAGAAAATCATGGGGATAATAGAACATTGTGGACACCCTGTACATTGAGGAAATTCCTTTTAGTATCTAGACCAGAATCTTTGAAAAAAGTTTTATACACCATATTAAGTTTGCCTAATCAAAAAGAAAACTTGTAAGATCACTATATTTTCCTTATTCTGTAAGTAATACTGTATCATCAACACTTTAAGAAGATGATAGGTGTTTTGTCCAGAATATATAATTATTAATTTTTTACAGAGGTGACCCATTAGCAATAGCTGCTGCTCAAGCTGCCCATGAAGCCAAGAAACGCAAGTGGAAGCAACTAGGTCCTGATGGTAAGCCAGTCTTAGCACCCATAAAGCAAAGGAAGAAGGTCGACAGATTTGATGGTATTCCTGAAGATGAAGTAGCCAAGAAAACTTTACCTGATCATCTGGGCCCTAACCTGGACATAGTCATTGTGAGTATCACTGGGGATTGTTCATCGTATCCAAACACTCAGCTTAACCCCTAATGTGCTGTTTATAACAGTCTATATATGGCTCAGATATTTCAACATTCTGACTGTGTTCACTGAATTCTATTGTGACTATAACTCATCATGATTATATTTTTGAATATCAGTACAATATTTTAAGAATTGACGTATAGGAACTACATAATTGCCATTACATATATACTGGAGAAATGGCTTTGGGGTTAATATGCAGCAATAGACAGCCTCATTGTATCTGCAAAGTGCTGAAGAGATTAAAATTCACATTCGTGTGTTAACATATAGAGCATAATCTTATGAGTGTTCATAAAGTAAACATATAGAAAAGGGAAAATTATTAATTGAAGTGACTTAGAAGTGATAGATTTATCATCTCTGATACAGTATATAGGAAATTTTGTTTTATTGTAACATAATAGAGTACCTGTATATATAGTATATACACTGTAAGTACCTCTTAACTTAAATATTATTCGACATCTTGTTTCCAGAAGGAAAATCATTTAGCTAATTCATTTAAGAATAAATGGAGTGCTAAGTATCAGTGAGGCTGCAGTAGCTGTTGAATTTTTAAGCCAACCAATGGGCCCGTGCCCGGAAGAACAGTTTAATCATGGTAACATGAAGATTTCTAAATTCCCATTCCAGATCGGAATAAATCCAGGTTTGTTTGCGGCATACAAAGGACATCATTATGCAGGCCCGGGGAACCACTTCTGTGAGTACTGTGAAGGATCATTGTCTCCACATTTACTTATTTACTTATCTTCTTTTTTTTCTATTCCTTCCTTTCTCTTTCATTATCTTTCTGACCCATGTTGTTACCATCAGTTAATCTTTTATATTTGGTTTCCTTCATCTCACCTTATCATTCATGGCTTTTGTACCTTTCCACTTAACATTTTGCTGTGCATCTTATATTGTGCAGATTTTTTATACTGCTTTGTGGAAAGATAAATTAGATGAGATGGGATTACTTAATCAAGGGCCCAGGATGGCTTTGTGATCAAAACTGTTTAAAACAGACAAGAAGCATTCTTCAGAATATTGCCCAGTGCTCTGATTGAACTTGGCTCATTTTTTATCATTGGTACGAGCTACCCTTGTGATTGCGTTTTTTATTTTTTTATGACAAATTGAAGATAATATCTACCTTGCCACTTTTCCACTGCATGTAGTGGTAAAATTGCAGCTGGGAGAGCATTAGATAGTGTAGATACTCAATGGAATATAAGCCGAAGCAGACCATAGTGGGTAATATCTTGTCTGTTCTGCCTAGGTTTGGGATCAATCCCAACTATCATATTGCACTATCAGAGCACCATCTATGCAATTATGTGTTTGTTTGATTTTTGTGTGTGTTTAAGTGTGTGTTTGTGTGCGTTTGTGAATACTTGAAAATATTATTATTATTTTTTTTTATAGATTCATCTTAGATACTAGGGTATGAGGTGTTGAAAATTGCAACATGTTCAAGTTGAGATTTAGAAGTACATTAGCTACTATCCATGGGATGTTCACACCTGATAAAGAGCATCATAATGATAAAAAAATAAAGTAAAATGAGAGGCTATCAGAATAGTGATTATTTACAACATAAAAAATGGCTGAGGAGCTCTGCACTTGGTTGAAGAATCGTATTTTTAACACACCTTATCTCATGAGGCAGTGTTAGCCCTTCAAGTTACATCTATGAACAGAATAGTTATACTTTTGACATATAAGAAGGTTCATGCTAAATACTGTAGTACAGTATTCCCATTTAATATTTAGGTATTTTTGTTTTGTAACCATACAGTCTATTTTCCTTTTTTTAGCATAAGTACCATGGGACTTGCCTTATTGATCAGTGGTTACTGGCGATATTTAGAAGGCAGTCTAGTACAGTTCAGTCACTAATACACTGCAAACACTTATATTAAGATTATTCCTGCACTCTTGCCTTTGATGGTTTCTTGAGTTTTTTCAGTCATTTTTATCTCAACCAGAATAATGTGATGAGATGTGTCTTGGAGGACTTGTTTCTTGTGTTCCAGTCATGCTATCTGTGACGTATATCTCATGTTCTTACTGTTTGTGCTGTCAATTTGGAAAAAGTTTTAAACACTTTTTCAACATTTTAAACATTGAAAATAGTTTAAAATTAAAGCTATATATAAGTTCTTAAAATTTTGCTCATCATCTTTCTTAGAATTTTGTTGTTTGAAATACTGTAGCAAGTACACAAAGAAAGACATTGTACTCTTTACTGTAATTATAATAATTAAAAAAAAATAATTACATACTGTATTGTGAGAGGTAATGATTTAATTGGCTTATGACTTTTACAGTAATAAAAAAATTGGCTCCGTTCATACTTGTAAATCATATGAGGTGGTGTGGACTTTAGTGATGACCCCTACATGTATGCCAAAATCCATTTACTGTGGTAACAATGTCTCCAGAGTCTGTAGAAGAGAAAAACATATGCCGGGACGTCATCAGTAGGGAAATAAGATGTATATATGAAGGGGTGTATATTGGGCTAGTGCTGGTGGTCTTGGTTCTAGCTGGGCAGACATCAGTGGTGACCTGGGAAGGCGACTGGGCCAATCAATGCCTCTGTCATGGCCACACACCCTTTCCTTCTCTCCCGCGACTAGTAAACACCTCACATCACTAACAACAGTCCTTCACAAGCTCTGGTATTTACACAGGTTTTGTCCTTTATTGTACAGTACTCTTGTTCATTCTCTTCTACTGACTCTAGAGATATTGTTACCAGAGATAATGGAGTTTACATACATGTAGAAGTTGTCACTAATTTCCACAGTGCCTCATATACATTTTTGGGGCAGAGTAGCTTTATGGCACTGGAGCTGTTGTACTAATTCGAGGATATAAAGATACTGTTTGAGATCACTTAACTTTGTACCTTGTTCCATAGTCAAATTTTGTGATATATATATATATATATATTAAAGCACTTTAGTGATTGTACAACTAACAAAAATTTAATTCCCACAACCTCTCATGAAAGCGACCTTCTACAATCAAGGTAAATAGGCGAAATCTTGTCCACTGTTGTGAAAAGGGGCATCTGTTTTGTATTGCAAGGTGTATAATTAATACAATAGAATACTTCATAGTATGATATCCTGATGCAGGATATCATAAATACTAATCCAATTAATAGCACATATGCTTTATAAAAACAAACAAGTAAAAATCTTTCAAATCAAATCAACCAATATCCTATCAGCCTTTCTCACTATCCAGCAGGGTGGTCCATGAAAAACATCTTTTACACACCATTATCATGTTATATGTGTAGATTCCTGTAATGATACAACTCTTCTCACCCTTGATAATCCTACACTCTCCCTCTGCCATATTTATAGCCATCCCTACACTCTTTGTAACTTATCTCACTCATATACACATTTACTAATTCTCCACATCTGTTCTTTATTGATACTACTGTAGATGCTCAATACTTTATTTTTCACTCATTAACCACAACTTTTCAGTACAATGTTTCCCAATGATTTTCTCATTCCTTACTCTTTACACTCCCAGAACTCTGCAAGAACCTTCAGAAAATCTAATCATGGTGCTTGTATTGTATGTTGTAATGATACTGATCATTGTTCACCAGCTTAACGTAAATATACCACATCCTTCAACACACTTCATCACACCTGCTGTGGTCCTTATGTTTCCTTTCATAAGTCTTCTTGGAAGTTTTGATAATATTCTTGTCTTTTAGTTTGATTTTTGCTTTAAGTTCCATTTCATCATCATCTGCATTGAAAGAACTACCCAGATATTCAAACTATGAATATCTTCTTATAATTTTGCATATACCCCTGGACGTCCACAGTTCACTCTCAGACTTTCCTCTTGAATGTGACCACCTTGTTGCTCTTTTGTACACTCTCAACAAAAACTTCTTGAACACCTGGGCACAATGAATGTGGGAATGAGCAGAATGGGGCTTGTAGTCTCGGAATGGTTTCAGATTCTTCGTTCATTTTTAAGATTGCATAGTGCTTACAGCGTTCGAGAAGTTTTTGGTGAGGGTGGACATCCACACTCATTTTTCTTATCACAGTATCTCCTAAATTCCTTCACCAATATTTGTAACTCTGTAGCAGATGCTGCCATTATTATCTAATCATCTATATACTGTAGAGTAATAGCCTCCTTCAGACTCTCACACACTGAATATTAACCATAATATCCCTGAGTATGTTTTCCGGTTATCTTTATTTTGCATTCTTGAGTTTATATGATTGTGCTTTTTATCATCTTTGAATATGAAAGTAACACTGATACTAAAAGTAAAAAAAAAAATAATTCTGCAAACATTTCTATCATTTTTATCAAATTCCATCACTGCTACATACAGTATTCTTAAGCTTCACATTAGTCTTCAGACATTACTATAGTCTCACTCCTGTATCTTATTGTTCTCCCCATGTCATATTTCTGTCTCTTTCTGTCTCTCCAGGTCTCCTTTCCTTCCCTCTGTTTATATACTGTACTTGCTGAATCACTTCTCATACTTTTTGCATGTTTTAATTTCTTCGTGCTGTTCATTGCTACTTCACTTATGTTATAGGCAAACGAACATGAAAAATTCTCTAGCAAGTATTACTGTATCAGTATTAGTGTTAGGGACTTGAGGGTGTAGACAGGACCATCACCCAAGTACTGTATGTGAAGAATATCCTTCGTTGACCACCTGCTGTGAGTGTGGAGGAAAGTACATCTCACCCTTGTATTTACATGAACCCAAACATGATATACAGTATATTGTATATATATATATATATATATATATATATATATATATATATATATATATATATATATATATATATATATATATATATATATATATATATATATATATATATATATATATACATATATATATATATATATATATATATATATATATATATATATATACGTGATATATATATATATATATTATATATATATATATATATATATATATATATATATATATATATATATATATATATATATATATATATATATATATATATATATATATATATATATATATATATATATATATATATATCGCAGTGCATCAGGATTAAGCTTTGAAACACAATTGACTTTTTTGGCAAATAGTGATAACTACAGTACTTGTTTATATTGGGACAGTACTGTACAGTATAACTTAATGGAATCGAGTTCAGATTTGCTCAGTTTCATATACGTAATACAGAATGATGTTTCCTACTGTAACCAACCTATATCTAAATTTGGATAGATGAGGCTTGTAATGATGCTGTTCATTTATAGTTGATACAGTACAGTGTATTACGGATTTGTACGTGATTGTTGCCATATTTAGATCACTTAGAATTTATAAAATTTTAATAATTTTTTTTTTAATATACAGTACTGCATTGAAACCAGTATCTTGTCGAGTCCCCCATTGTACCGCTTGAGTTTGTTCTTCCTTGTCCAGTATTAGTTAGTTCACAAGGAAATTGTAGTACCCAGAGAAAACCTGCAGTGTTTGGAAGGGTCATATTGTACTCGATAACACCTTTCTCACATCCAACCTGGAGATTGAACCTGGGACACAATGGTGAGAGGAAACTGCATTACCACTGTGTCATGTTTACTTGAATATACAAAACTCACATAATTATCCTTTTTTAATACAGCATACACATTCAATTTGGAATTTTAACTAATTCAGTAGGTTTTGGTAATGCTGGAATTCCAAGGTAAATTTCAGCAGGAGGCCAATATTTTCTGAATTTACATGATTCTGCCAAAGTCGCCCCACACATATTGCATCAGGTTAGGTGACACAGTTGACCTGGGAAGCATCCATGGCTTTTTGGTGATTCTTAAAGAAAGCTCGTATTTTTTCTGAATGCATAGTGTCAGTACATTCTCATATGTGCTTTTGCCTTTAGTTTCCAATATGGCTTTGAAAGAGTGCAAGGTGAGCATTTAGTGCAAAAGTTCTTTTAAATTGTATTTATATGTATAAAGATTCACAAATATTACAAGTGGGGAGGATGGGGCATCCAGAAAACAGCTATGTGTGTTAAGGAGCAGAGAGAATGGTAGCAAGTGATTTTTGGGGAAGGACATGTTGCTGCTGGGTGATGCTGATTACTGGGAAGTAATGCAGTTTTAACTAGATGGATGTTTGGGTAATATGTTGTGGAAGGGGGAGTGATCCACAGAAGAACACTTCTGTCACAGCCTTAAGAATGAATATCAAATAAAGGAAAATATATTTGTGAACAGTATTTGCTTTTGATTTTGGTCTCTTAGTATTGTGAATTCAGGACATCCAAATGGTAGCAGGGAGCATTATCATGGAACCACAAGGGCTTCTAAAGCTAAGCAAAATTTTAATTTTCATCTTATTAAGCAATGAGAGCCTCAACTGGTAATGCTCCCTGTTCCTTTATGGAGGTCCCAGGTTTGAGTCCTGACTAGTGAGGTACAGTATTGTTTGTATAGTGAGGTCCATGTGCATTTTGATATATATATATATATATATATATATATATATATATATATATATATATATATATATATATATATATATATATATATATATATATATACCTCCTCAGAGAATTGGAACCTTGTCTTATAATTTGCTAAGAGGACAGTTAAAAGCCCTAACTATAACGCCCAGTTCCTTCTCAGTAAAAGTAGGTTGGTAATCGCAAAGGCATTGAGCTGTTAAGTTTGCTTCAAATTTGCCAGATGGCAACTGGGACATTGCTATCAGGTAATCATGGCTAGCCCTCAGAAGTGTGGAAAATGGCCTTAAAATGGTAATGATGATCATCACATACTGTATGTATAGAGTGAGGCTTCTCCGTAGCAGAGTGATTGATGATGCATTAAGGTGGTAGTTACTGGAGGTTTTCTAAGAAGTAAAGGTTAAATCTTTCAGGAATCTGTGGGAGCGACTGGAATTGTAAAATCTGTAATGTAAAAAGTTTATCTTATTTATTTATAGTGCTATGTAGTACATGTAATAAGACATGCTTGTGGAGTATTGGGGGTAAATAATATTGGATTGGATGGTTGTACAGTACATGCACAGTCTACGGTGTGTGGATAACCTCACAGTAGGTTGTGGTTGTCAGGTGATGTGGGCAGCTACTATACTATTCTTTTCTGGGTCATTTGTTTTGTACTTGTCACTTTTCCAGCTGATATTTACTTTGTGACACCATTTTATATGTGTGTTTCTGACACTGCCACAACATTCCATAATAGAACATGTTCTATATTGTCTCTACTTTGTGTTTTTGAGAATATTACAGTATAGTGTATATGTGCACAATATTTCTACTTGAAAGTATTTGGGCTCCTCACAAACACACTTGATAGCATAAGGCAGTACAAAAATCCTATGGTTACAGATTCTTTTTCATTGATGGGAATGTTTTCAAGATTGTACTGAATATTTCACAACATATTTCAATATGTACTTTTCAGTAAAAACAAATGTATGTAATCTGAATTCTAGGATTTTAGAGACAAGGGGTTGTACTCCATAAATTATGAAAAAATAATAGCTCCCTGGTAGTAAAAATAAGAGAAAATACTACAGTAATAAATTCTAGAATGAATCTAAGTTCTCAGTGCTTGTAAGGTAGATCTGTTGTAAGCATCTGTATTTACTTGTCTATCTCAGCAACTCTTTGTGTGACTACATTCATCTTTTATCTCCCAGTATCACCATAAGTACTGTACTGCTGTGGCCTCATAACATGTTCAAAGTGGATGTAAACTGCATTACAGTACTACCAACAAGAAGGTGAACATTTAAGATGAATTAAAAGTATAAATCTGTTTCTCTTTTTCTGACTAACAGGACAGAAGGTCAACCAAAACAAAATTGACTTGTTCAAAAGATTCATAAGCAGTTAGTGCGCAAAGTAGAAGAGCTGAGTGTGGGGCTCTGTATGGTGGTGGGCCTACAAGGTGATGTGGCTCTGGCAAAACTGTTGAATGACTTTATTTCTAAGAGAGAGAGACTAAGTTCCCTCCTTCACTTCCCAAGATATTTATTTATGCTTTTGGCCTTTCACTAAGCCTTTACCATCTTCACATCACTTCCACAGGCCATGATAGTAATATAACAAGACGAGCACTGAGAGTTACAAGTGAAAATGTGATGAAGATTTGTGAGAACAATGTAATCACAACAACTGCTAAAATTATACTGACAGCCACTGTAAGGTTTCCTGGTAATAACTCAAGGTTCTTATTTTTCTAGTGCTCAAGGAAAGGTTTTTTGTACCTTTGGACTTGTCATGGGGAGACCAGTGCCACTCCTTGTCTTTGTCATGTTGAGAAATGACTAGTTACTTGACGACCATTTATATTTACAAATTGTGGTCATTAATCTCGAGCATTCTATTAGTTTAAATAATTTACTTAAATTGTTCTAAATAAAAGATTATTTTATCCTGAAACTGATTGGCATATTTGTCAAATTATCAAATGGTCAACATACATTGAGACAGTGCAAAAAGTTGCAGTACAGGTATTCTTAAAAAAAAAAATGACAACCTTAACGACCAATCCCTGCCACTAATAACCTGCCTCACTACAGGAAGCAGTGTCAACATGTTGACTTCACTTGACCTTCCAAGCTTGACTTATCATTCCACTGTTTCATATTGACCTAACATGATTTACTGTGGCCTTTGTGTAAACCAGGAAGTTATGTGAGTGACCACTTTGATGTCAGATCACACAGGTTGGCTCTGAGTAAGAAATTTAGACTCACTCTGAAGTAATATTAATCATAGGGTCGTAGGGAATTATCACGACTGAGTGCATTCTTCACTTCAGAGCATTCCTCAGCCTCTCTGCCTTTTAACCAAGATTAAAGGACTATATATTATTCCATATTTGCAAGTTATCAATTCACATTATCTCTAATGAGTTAAATTAATATTTGGAGGTGATATCAAATTTCCTCCTGCAGGAGTTTTTTTTATTTAATCCTATTATGAAATGATCAAATTATTTCAGTCTTGGCATTTATGTATTTTGTTAATAAGCAATGGAGCTTCTTCCTTTTGATCTTTGTAAAAAGTGAACTTTTTTCTTCTTTGGCCTTTTGATAGGTGGATCGATCCTATTTTTTTCCAATCCTAAAAATCGTTTTCTGGTAACAAACCAACACATTATTCTGCTAAGTGTACAAAGGCAGTTCATGAAATATATTACTCCTGGTTTTTCTGCTTTGTTGAAGAATTTATCATTTTCCAATCATAAAAGAATTTCCTGTAAGACCTCTAGATATTAGCCTGGAAGCCTCTCAGTTTGCACAAATAAATTCCTTTGCAAGATGATATACAGTATTTGTTGACCCAAGTTAGCCTTCAGCCTCCTTCTGTAAGAGAAATTTCTAGCCAGTGACACCATACATGAGTGATTCTCTTCCTCATCTTCTCAGAAAGGCTAAAGTAGGTGTTTTTCGGGTGTAGTACATTTCAAACCACAACCCATGAGTAGATCTCGGGCTTTAGTTTTGAGGGGTGCAACTGTAAGGTGCTGAGGGTCAATGGTTGGAGTTGTTGTATTAAACCAAGGATCTGTGGGCCACTTGGTATCCGTAAGCCAGAAGGTATAAAAAAAGAAAAGAAATGAAATATAGACCAATATAAAAAAATTTTTTATTGGAGAAATAAAGTTACGTATTAAAAAAAACAACTGTTTTGGGTTACACACCCTATAACTTTGCGCCACTACATTTCATTAGTATTTAACAACTATAGGATGACCTCCAAATTCAAATTATTAAAAAATTAGGTTACAGGGAATTTTTGAAGACAATCTGTTTCATACATGTCAGAACCTTCTTGTCAGACTCCATCGCATATTGATGGTAATGCAGTTAATACACTATTATTGACTTATATTTATTTTTGTTAAAATGGGAATAAATGGCAGGGACTCTTAAAGTACTGTAAAAATAAAAAAAAGTATAACTTGAGATATTATTTCCTCCATTATGTCTGGAGATGTTCTTTTACCACCACCTCCTACTTTACCTTTCCACTGTACAAGTATGTGAGAGATTTTGATTGTGGCTCTTCTTTTTTTATGAAGAAGACCTACTTTCCTCCAGAAAAAAAATGATATACCTGTATCCATTTAAAAAAAATCATGTACAGTACTTGCACTACCTCTTACCACAAATACTCTGTAATTCATCCACCTGTCTCTATTATCCCCTAAGCTACTAATTTATACCGTACATGCTCAAACATTGACACTTTTCTCTTTGTCCACTCTTCTTACCCCACAGCCCATCTTTTTTACTTTTCATTTTCCTATAACTTCTCCGTGTTTCACTCCCACTTACGAGAGAGAAGGGAGACCAGTGCTCCTTGGTTAACTTTGCCTCACCTGTGGGATCTCATCATTATCTACATGTATAATGATTCTCTTTAAAGTTGTAGTGACCATCTTTACCTTCGTTGTTCATCAAAATTATTATCTTGATATTTTCAACTGTCCTGGAACTGTCATAAACCCTTGTTTGAGCTCTTCAGTCATCTGGAACCATTCTTTTTTGTTTGTTTGCTGATTGTTATCTTTTGAGAACATGTCAGTGCTTCTTATGATTTTGCGTAACTATTGCAATTAAATAGGCACAATAAAAGCAAGGAATTGTACTGTTCGAGAATCATCCCAAGAGTAATTCGACCAGTCTTAGGACAGTTTCAATCATCCACAGGAAGTCAGATTGCTGCTATTTTTACAGCTTGCACTTTACTCTTCTCTCTTAAACACCAGCATCTGGTCCACCTGAGCATTCACTGTAGTGTCCGTCTTGTATCCAGTATTCTGGCTAATTTGTTTGCAATATGCTATAACTATCATGCAGTCGCTCCCAGGAGTGCATACTCATTTGCATAAAGCAAAATTATAAACATATTTAAATGGGGAATATACATGATGGTTACATTGCAAAAAAAAGATTCATCTAGGTCATGGCTTGTTAAGGTAGAAACAGGTCTCGTGAATAAGTGAAACATCTGTAAAGTATTTATGGTTGATTTTTTAACCCAGTAAACTTTGGAAGGGTCAAGGAATGGAACAATTAATTTTACCCTTCTTTTATGTTTAATAAAGCTACACATAATTTGATCTTTTGGAAAGAAACACATTACTGTACCCTGTACTATTATTTCAAGTCAAGTACCTGTAGTAAACTTATTTCTTTCAAATAATTTCCACGTTTTTTTATTGAGGCATCAGCTGCTGACCATTTATTTTGCTGAAAATGAAGTTCAGAAAATTACCTTCTTAAATAATTGGACATCATAAGCTAACTTTAGAATTATGTGTGAAAGGACAGAATAAAACACCTCAAAATCATAGGCAGTTCATGGTGATGAGAGTTGAATGAGATTGTGTTCCATTTTAGGGTTTTAAAATCCATAAATCTCTTAACTTACATTTGCTTCATAAACAAACTTAATCTCAGAAACGTTGAACGTTTAACTTCTTAATGCCACAAAACAAATCATCACTGATCACTTTGTACTGTTGTAGCGTTAGTTGCATCACCTTTTATGCGAATGAAGTGTCATGGGTAGTGTAAGGTATAGTTGTGGTACAGTATTTTACTTTTGAATGTTTTGCCAAGTATCATTTTAGGATATAAGAAAACATACTCATTTTTTTTAGTTTGTTTTTCCTTGTATACAGTATTATGGGTATTTTTGTTTATGCTGCATGTCTGTGAGATTACTAACATTTCTCTGCATCACTGAATGTGCACTTGGTCTCATTTTCTCAGGAATTGTGACAAAGTAAAAAAAAACTACATTACAAGCTATCCATGGGACTTAGATATTCTTTATAAGGAAGTACAGTACAGTACAGTAGTAGAGAGAATCACAAGGCAGTGTTTTAGCATCTGCTCAAGACAACTCCTCTAACTATACTCTTATTAACTATTTTGGTTTCCTTCCCTCTTCATCGGCTTTTAATTTTTCTAAGCAATCTATCACTGTCTGTATATAACAGCTTTCTTGATCTAACACACTAATTTTTATCATAAGTTAGATGATATCAGTCCACATTCATTCATTAACAAATACTCATCTTGTTTTAGCCTGTATTTAGTATTATAACAAAGCAATCAGTAGTTCATTATATTTTGAGTTTTAATATATCTTTTTTATTTGTAATATTCAGTTTCCTCATTCATTCACTCACTGTATCAGATTTTCCTACTCATCTGCATTTTGAAAGATTTAGATACATATTGTCAAAAGCTCTTATGAAGCATCCCTTATGTTAAAATTAAACTTTGCTTGCTCTTAGCAGTCTAAAGTAATTTCACCAATTGGTGGTACAGTATCATCATACTTAAGAATTATAGAATGGTATGTAAAATTTTGTCAATGTATAGTAATGTCAGGAATTACTATGTTTGTCTGCCATACCTTCTCATTTGAGTACAGTACTGCATCACTGTCACATTAAAATCCAACAATTATTCTTGTAAAAATAATAAGTTGATATGCACATGTAAAAGGGGTTTCTCATTGGTTTGCATAACTAATATAAGATTAATTTGTTACAGGGAAATGCTTGTACCTGTCTGGACTGATCCCTGAACCACTCACATCTGAAGATGACTTCCGTTTGTTAGAACATGGTATTGGCTTCACTAACATTGTTGCTCGCACCACAAGGGGATCAGCAGATTTGACCCGCAAAGAGATCAAAGAAGGTATAGTATCAGGTTAGACACATGCATTTTAAAATTAAGTTGGTTACTGAGCTCAGGGGATCTACACCATATGTCTTACATGTTGCAGCATTCTAGTCCATGTACAGTGCAGTACAGCAAACTTGTTTGAGGTTTATTGGTGCATTTTCCTACAGTTTCATGCTGCTAATTTTATTTTATTGACTCCTTCAGAATGTAATTTATGTTTTGCTGAGTTTTCTTATTTGTTATTGGGTATTTACATGATAAAAATTTTAAGATATGCAAAAATATCAATTTGGTTTCTTTGGAATGGAATGTGTACAGAGATCAGTCTGGCATTAAAACATTAGAGCCATTATTTATATAGGATCATGATTTGATTTTACCATTGACTTTTGTGTAATAAAATATATGCTCTAAAATCACATATACAGTATTAATTAATCATTCAGCATTATCAAAAATAATGTGTCCTTCAGAACACAGCCTACATCAGCCCCTATTAACAGAATTAAGTACAGTATACTTGATTATGTTCCTGGAGTGTTATGTCATTTCTTAATTTTGATCTGTAAATTATTATTCATTATAAAAATTACTGTATCTTGAAATCTTTATTACCATGAACTTGTCTTACAGGTGGACAAATCCTGCTGTCAAAACTGCAACAGTTTCAACCTCGAATTGCTGTATTCAATGGTAAAGGGATCTATGAAATATTTTCTGGGAAAAAAGAATTTACGTTTGGAAGACAACCAGAGAAAATTGAAGGAACTCGCACAGTGAGTAGAAGTTTCTAGATTATATTTGACTTTCTTAACTTTTATAAAAAAATTTTTTTTTTACTTATTCTGAATATGTGTTTAAATGTGCCTCAGTAAAGTGACAGGATTAAATATTAGTCTGTAAAAGCAATGTCAGAAAATCTTGAAGATGCAAACTATTTTATATTGGGTTACAGCAAATTATATCACATAAAAATCTGAATCACTATTATACTGCACTACAATTACAGATTAAAAAGCTTTACAGTAAGACTTCCCATTACTGGACTCTGAAATATGGAAACTTGGTATTGCTGCATTTGTTTCATCAGTTGATCAGTCCATCATTGTACGTGCTGGATGAGAGACACACTTGAAATATTAAATTGATTTAATCCAACAAGAAGAACCCCAATTATCCATAATAATCATGGTTTGAAGATACACGTCTTCCTCGTATATTAAGTTGGAAACTTTATATTAGAGTTAAATGTTTCCTGGGTGGAAAAATAAAAACATTAATTTAACACAACTTTAACTGCTGTTTAAATTATTGATTACCATAAAGAAGCTAGTGGGTGTTGGTGGTGCAGCGGCAATGTGCGTTTATTAAGTGTTGTACCGGATAAATAAATATAATTCACTATAAAATACAGGGTTAAGTACTGGAGGTTAAAAAATTCACCAAATTAGATTTTAGATGTTTATTTACTAATGAAACACAAGCAAGATACTGTATGTATAGCATCCTTGTATACCATTTAATAATAAAGAGAACAAAAAACAATAAAACAATACACCACTGAGCTAGCATCCCACTTACATAAACTGTAATACTCTAGGACACCGGTCCTTAAGAACCAGCATTTTTACAAACATTTTTGTATAAAACAAAACTTGTTTGTTAACCCAAGAATATCTCAAATTAGATGGAGGAATTCAGACTTTCTTGAAATTGGTTTTGTTTTTTTCATCCAGAACAGAAATGTATGCCGACTTGCTAGCTCCCTACTATGCCATATTGACTTGTATACATAATATGATTTGTCATAGATAAGATGAACCAATTAAACATACCTATCGTACCTATCGTAGGATGAAAGCACTGTACAGGTGTATGTTAGTTTAGGTCAGGTTTGGTAATTTAATTTACGTTAGGTAGTTTTGGTTCGTCAAGGTACAAAAAAGTCACTGGGTCGCATTCATAATGTTGCTGGGAATCATTTGTTAACAGACGAATTGCAAACGTGGCTTTCTTGGATGACGGAACAAATTTTCTCATATTAAAAACCAGGTAAAATAACCCCCCCAAAATTTAAGAAAGTTGGAATTCCGACACCTGGTATTCTATATATTCTTTAGGTAAGAACAGGTTTTCCTTCCATAGAAACTTTTGTAAAGTTGCCGGTTCTTACCATAACAGTGTCATAGTGTTAAACCAAAAATTAAACAAAGGTTTTCTTGCACACTGATAAAGAATCTGTATCTATATTTGTTTGTTTCATCTACAGTACAGCTGAATATAAAAAAAAATATTATTTCTGGTTTCTTGTACCTTCCTCTATCATTTTATTGCCCCAGCCTGACTTATTAGGCCTCTGGTCCCTAACCTCTTTTTTTAAATTTAATTACATGTTGTTTAATAGTATCGTGATTTAACTATTTCACAAATATTCTCAGTTCCCGTCTTGCAAAATAACCCAAGGCATCTGTACAAATTTGCAAACCATCAGCGCTTCAAATTTCACTCATTTTACTGACTAGAGTCTTCATGGCTGCAACTTGTCAAAATTGGAGGTCCTCTTGACAACTATATGCTTAATCTACGGTTTTTTGTTGGATGAGCATCTACCCAATAGGAATAGGTCTAACCTACACAATAAGTACTCATATAAATATTATTAGTAGATGTCTACAATAAATATGGAAACTAAAATTTTTGGGGATGATATGCTACATTGAGATCTGTTCTGGTAAAAATTTTAAGACACTCTTAAAATGAGAATTAGTATCTCCCAAAACTTAATACAAAACACATACTTATATGATAAACAAAATTTTGACCCCTAAGCATTACTTTGTTTTGGATTAGGGGTGAAATGTGTTAAGTGTCTACAAAAGACTTGAAATCACATAAACTATCTTTTTCAATTGGTTAAGCACAGTACTCTAAAGACATGACACCCAAATCAGTCTTAGCTTAGTTGATTAATGATGTTGGAAGCAGGATATCGTACATACAGTATTCATAATGTGAATTACAAAATAAAGATACCTGTACAGTATAATAATTTTTGTATCACTTCAACAATTGACCCTAATGGCCACTGCAACTAGACGTGGCCATGCCAAAGGTAGGAGGCCAATGGCTTGTGTAGGATATCTATATTGTACTGTACTGTATACTCAACTTTTTAGAATGTAATTGTAGTGCTGTGTACATTTAGCAGAACGCAAATTATGTTTTTTAGATTAATTTTTTAGTCAATTTTACTTTTGTGTGAAAACCTGTGTAAGGTATCAGAGAGTTTTGATAAAGAAAGTTGTAAATACAGTACATATGTCACCTAAACTAGTCAGACAATTTTTGTTCAGTGTTGCATTTGTTGACAACAACTAATTCCTACTGCTGTAATTCCCAAGAAATGGCAAAATCTTCTGGATGAAGAATTGTTTTGGTTCTTCACTTTTTTTTTTAGTCATCTGAGGCCATTTATCTGCTGTTGGTGTTTATTACAGGCAGGAATTATCTCACTTAATGTGTCGCTGAAGATTTTTAATGGATTTATTTTTATATTTTTGGGCAGCTAAGAAAAAATTAAATAAATACAATAATCACCCCATTAGCTGAAATAATTGGTGTATAGCAGCTCTGGGTTTGAGAGATTTCTGGGTATTAAGGCGAATTTTCTTATCCCCAGAATTTTTTCCGGGTACTGGTGAAAGTTTTCTAGTCTTAACTACATACAGTACGTGTATCTTGCATGAAGCATCACTGCCAAGGAGGCTTAACTGCAGTGGGACTAAAACAGAGCTATACAAACTCTGCTGTATACATACAATATATTGTAAATAAACAAAATATACTACAATATACTCTATACTGAACTCACTGGTAGATGCTGTTAACTTGAGCTTGTGATGCAGGGAGGCCAAATGGTGATATGATGATACAGAATGGTATTGTTTTCCTGTACCATCTACTGTAGCAGTTGGTGCTGTCACTCTCCTCTCCCTCCATGAAGGAGGGATATACATGCACTGTATACTGTATATGTATGCCCTCTACACAGTAGCCTACAGGAGGCATACATTGTCCACTCTCCTATGTATAGTACTGTACATACGGTACTTTTACACTTAATGAATGTACTGTACTGTATATATAACTGTACCATAATCACTTATTACATCTTACTACTGTTTTAATGGTATTCATGGCTGATTGTACAGTAATGTGCAGTGCTGCACAACACAGATCATATTAAAAAAAAAACGGCAAAGAGAGAGCGAACAAGTTTGTACAATGGCAGCAGTTAATGAACAAAGAGTGTCTTGTTGCTAGAGATTGAGAGATCAGCTGCGAGATACATCAGCCAGTCATTGGCATCCCATGCAGTCATTTGATAGTACAGGTAGTAGCCAATTGTAGCTCATGAGCACTCTGAACCTACCCACCCACCCGCTCAGCTCGTGTTGGTGCATGATGCAATCTCTTGGAAATTCATTCAAATGCATGGAACAGAGAGATTTTTCTCGGAGTTTCTCAAAATGTTTAAAAAAAAAATAATAAAATCTGGGTGATGAAAAGTTCAGGGGATCGAAGATTCCGGCTAATGGGGAGATTAATGCACTTGATTGTTTATTGTAACTTCTACCAATGGAGAAATAATTGGTTTATCTATTCTCATATTAGTGAGTTTCTTCTTTGCCACTCTCACATCAAACATCATATGATGACATACCATATCATTCTCTAGATCCATGCTGTCCATCAGAGATTGATATTCCTCAGTTTTCATTTTTTTTCTTTATTGACTCATCATTCTTGTAGGTTAATATATACAGACTTCCTTCTTGTTTTGCTTTATAGTGGTAGTATCTCTTTGTGTAAGTCTGTAATATTTTCATACATCTTAACACTGGTAACTTTTTCTTACAGCACGTGTGGGTGATGCCATCATCATCAGCACGGTGTGCACAGCTTCCAAGGGCCCTGGATAAAGTCCCATTCTATACAGCTCTTCGGAAATTCCGTGACTTTTTGAAAGGTACATTGGATGAATTAAATGAAGAGGAAATTACATTTATTAATGTGAAAGTAAAGAGTTTAAAAATGGACCCTAGTGAGAAGGTAGAGCTTGGGTGCGAGACCCAGCCTGGAGAACTGTGCCGGTCGACGGATTCATTGGGTTCTCCCTTAAATGATGAAGATAGGCTAGTTATTAAGGAAGAACCTGATGTGCCCACTAAACTTGATGGGGAAATTGAGGAAGATGAAATCAGCAAAGAAATGCCCCAGACACTTTTCAATTTAAATGGAATGACCAGAGAACAGCTAGATTGTATGGACTGCCCCACCATACCCATCAGGAAGAAGCGCGGCAGACCGAAGAAGACTCCAGATGACCCCAATGCTCCGCCCCGTCCTCGGCCTCGGCCACAAAATATTGACCCATTGATGTTTAATGGAGAGCAGCCAATAAAGAAAAAGAGAGGGAGACCAAAGAAAGTACTGGAAGATGGCACTATACCTCCACCCAAACGACCAGGGCGTAAACCTAAAGCTCTGAAAGAAATGTTAGCACAGCAACAACATATTCACCACCCACAACATCTAAGTCAACATCCTCAGTTAAGTCAGCAACAGTTAGGTCAACAGCAACCTCCACCTGTAGGAATGGCACATATGAATGGAATGATGTCCCCAACAGGGTTTAGTCCAAACCCAGGTGCTCAGACATTTTCTCCACAGTATGGAAGCCATACTCCTGTTCATGGAGGTGGTAGCCTCACCCCCAATCATAACACTGGCAGTCAGACCCCTGGCCTAAATCAGCCCCCTGGTCACAATCAGACCCCTGGCCATAATGCGGCAATGGTTCCGAGAGGACAAACGCCTCAACAATTTGGTCAGTCTCCAGGATATTCCCCAGGTCCAACAGTCAACCCAGTCATCCCCCAACACCAACAAAGAACGCCGACAGCTTACACCCAGCAGCAGGCGGAGACTCCGACAGACTTAAAAGTGGATGAAGAACACCATTTAGGTCTGTCTTCTCCTCCTGCATCTCCACTCATGGCACAACCAGATTTTGAGCCTCCTAGCAGTATGCCTGAAGGAGATATGTCTATTGGTGCTTCAGACACACAGAGCTCAACAGCGCTCACCCCAAGTCATCAACTTCAAGAAGATGGTAAGGCATCTGTACCATTAGCTACCAGGGACCAGCCTCAGCTCACCCCTACTATGCCTGGCCAGTTCTCAAACCCCACGACCCCAGTAGATGGCAGTTCATACCAGAATTACCCTTCGTACCCTTCAAATGCTTCACACTCTCCATCGATGGTGAAGCCGTCTGCTGTACACCCAGGACAGTCACCGACAATTGTGAACAAAGGAGACGTGGCATCCAAGAGCTTGTCAGGTCTAGAGTCATTAGTGGACCAGATACCTAGCCTAAATGAACATGAGACAAGTAGCCAACATTCTGCTCACTCAAACTCTGCTCCTTGTTCCAATCCTACTACCCCTGGCCCCCCTGCGGGATCAGCCCCCTTCAGTCCTGGTCACGTTCCGCCCACCTCAACATACCAGAGCTACCCAGGGGGAGGCAGCTCAGGAGCCTCAGCATACCCAACCTCCCACTATGGCTCCCCACAATCTTCACACCCATACTCCTCCCCTCACTACAGCTCCAACAGTACAAACCTCAGTACAAATTTCAGTGTGAGCTCACTGGCAAATAGCAGCATTAGTACCACTATGTCATATAGTAATGCTTATGACCTGGGGTCGCCACAAGCGTCGACTAGCTCATTTAGTGTGTCATCGTTGACGAGCAGTGCCCCTGCCCCATCCCCCTCCATGTACAGCCAGTCCTACTCCCCTGCTCCTCCATCTGCCCCTGGGCCACCTCCACACTCCTCTTACCCAGATATTATGAGCCCCTCAATGTTGGCTCCAACCCCCTCCATGGGCTCATCATTTATGGGATCTCCCAGTTTGATGAGTTCACCCACACCCATGAGCTCAAGTATGGGTGGATCCTCCATGGGCCCCATGGGTGCTCTTCACTCCTCTATGGGCATGACGGGGTCACAGCTACCATACCCATATTCACAATATAGTGATGCTGCCCCTGGATATCCCCCTCCAGGGCACTCCACTTTTCCCTACCCAACAGCTCCTGGGTTTCATGTACCCTCCCCACGCTTCCCCTACCCGTCCCCCTATGCTAACTCCCCCTATACTCAAGGCTACTCTCAGAATGCCGTGCTGGAGCGAATCAAGCAAACCAGTATGGGCATGGGCTTTGGGGGATTTTAAGGTGCAAGGATAGTAATGATAGAAGTACTCTGGTGTAGTGTACTAGCCATGTAAAGGAAATAGGTCTCACTGTTTCCCATGCTCACTGTATTGTCTCAGTGTCAGTTCCTTGTTTTAGCTTTTTTATATATTTGTTACCCTAGAGCACCTGGTAAGCTCCACTTCCATCTCCTCACTGTCAAGTGATAGAGTGAAGGAGGTTGTGGCACTTGAGTGATTAATTGTATGTAAACTGTTCTCTGTGTGTGGAGAAGGGAGTGTTTGCCATATATGACAGGGTAATAATAATTGCTAAGCATTGTGATGCACTAGAGCAACACCCCTCCCCTCAGTGAACAGCGTCAAGTGTTGCATCACCATTCCTGCGTTGTGCACCAATAATGGCCAGTGATCTCATGAGCCGTGTAACAGGCCAACTGACCCATCCGCCTCGTGGCGGAATCACCACAGCTCACAAACGCTAGGAACCACCTCACTGGATGGTCCCACTGACCACCCAGGAGGAACATAGTCCCACTGGTAGCATTAAACCAGGGGACATAAAAAAAAAGTCCTTTCTATCAGTGAAACTGGGGACTAAGTCCTCTATAACAGTGATTTTAAGGGGCTAAAAAGTCCTATATAACAGTGAACCATAAAACTGGAAGGTCCTGCCAGAAGTGAACTGAGCTTACCCCATGTGCATCAATCTTTATAGACTGTGTGTCAGAGACAGAAACTTGTGATGTGGAGAAGTGTGTGTGTGTGGAAGTGAAAAAGGAGTCCCATTTGGCTTCCACAAGGTGATGAAAAATAAGTGGTTTTGGTACCCAGTCCAGGAGGCTTGTGAACAAGTATGTGTTGAGACAGTTCCTTCCAACAGATAATGTAAAGTAGTATTAAGAAGCCAGACCCTTTTATATGGACAGCACAATACTCTTTTGGTGCAATATAGTCATCAATCATTCATGCGCACAGTGTTGACAGATGTTTTTGAAATGATATTAACACACTTGTTTATATCTACCACCCATATTTGCAGTTTAATGATTTGTAGTGAAACCTCCCCCAAAAAACAAAATTGTCACAGACTATTTGATACAGTTTGTTAAGCCATGAATTTCTCAAGGGTACTATCTACTTCATAGTAGACACATGTTTCTGAGTTACATTAAGGAGGAGCATTTATGCTGGTCAACTCATATCCATCTGCAATATGTAAACTTAACTGGTCAATCATACATGTTCTTTTTCTCATGTTTTTATTAAAAATTTCTTGCACTGCCAGAATATATAGACACAGTTTATGTTGCTATATAGTCATTAAGGCTGTAGGAAATGTGTAATTATTACATGATGTTATGTGTTGGTAGATTATGTACTGTGTGTAGATTGTCATAAGTATTTCTCCTTAATGTAACTCCAAGAATCTCATTATACTAGTTTCAAGGACTTCTGATTGCTCAGATATAATATTGACTGTGTTGGATTAATTTAATATTGACGAATAATTCTTGACATAATTATCAATGCCATGGCTTTGCATCTGGCGTCTGTATCCAACTATTGATTGATACGTAACTCTTGTATCCAACTGTTTGAAACCTGGTGTCTGCCCACAAGCAGTAGACAGTCAGGGTTGTGGTGTGAGCTGTGTTAGAGGCATCAAAATGCAGGAGATAATTGGTTGATATTTCCCATCATGTGTAACTCCAGTTATGGCTATAATTTACTTACATAAATTCATTAATTCTGTAAATGATATATATCTGATGTTGACTATTTTGGAAAATTGTAAAAATTAGTTTATATTTGATAGTTTAAGTAAAAATTTTACAAAATGAAGAAAATGTCAGCACAGTCTAGAAGCTGAGTAGTGTTCTGTGTTATGGTCGTGGGGGGCATACACCATAGTCAGGTACAGGGCAGGTTGTACAGTATAGTTTCTTATGGCTCTGTAACAGTTTCCTCTGCTACAGTTAACAGTCTTATCTGGTACAATGACACTTTCAGCAGGGAAATGAATGGTTGTACTCTGAATGTCAAGCTTGTTTGTGGGGAGGGTTGGCATGTATGTCTTTTCATGCATGGGTGGGTTGTTGTTGTGGGCCTTTTTAGAGGGTTGGAATGGTTGTATTAATGTTGGTTGTATGTATGATCTTTGTTATCTACAAGAATATATATTGTTAGATGTTTAATTGGTTGATAAACCAGTTGTAAATCTGTATTACCTGTCATTTGGGGGGGTAAAAAGGCAAAGACTCAAATAATTTATATGTAATTAATAGTTTTGCCGAGTAAATTTCTCACATAAAAGGATAATTGGATCCTTTTAATCCAGATACTTTTTCCAGGGGTAACTTTTTTATGCATTTTTGCTTTGTTGATGTGTATGTTGTTAAGGGGATACATTTGTTTTTATTACTGAAGTTTCTCTGTAGCAGTTGACAGACTGTGCTGACATTATTCCATCATAGCTCAGGCTGGAAACTTAACACCTACTAGTGCAGCTCAGGCAGCTAAAATACATAAAAGATGTTACCCAGACAGCTAACTGAACATTTAGGTGGAGGAGTGAATCTCTTCTGACCTCCACCAACATGGTCGTAGGCAGCTTGGCCATCAACACTGCTTCAATGTTCCCATGACCCTGACAAACATATCAGACCACCTGCTTGATGGCAAACATGATTACTGTTTTTAGGAGAAATTAAAATCAAAACGATTGTAATCTATGCAAGTTATAATGTTTTGGCATAAATGTTTTCGCCTCAATAATGTGTAAAAGTCAATAGCTCATCCACACTTCAGATCATGATGACCGTGAATACATTTTCAGCTGTGGCTCATTTTTTTTTTGACTTACTAAGCAATAAGACGAGAGGATCAGTAGTAGTGTGCATACTTTAGTGTTGACAACCCCTGTAGGTGTGGTTGGTGTGTAGGGTTGGTGGTGTTGGCTGCCTACCTTGGCATCGTCACCACCCTCCTGTCTTTCTCCCTCGGCTACCAGGTACCAACTTGGCCACCACCACAGGTGTTGCTTCTGAATGGTGGTTATTGTGTGCACTGGGTGCCACTGGTGCACATGTGTGACTGTGTATATTATGAGTGTACTATAGGTGTGCCATGGGTGTGGTGGTGTAGTGTAGGGTGTGTACCAGGATACCATGGGAAGGGTCCGGTGTGCCGCATGATCTCATTGTTAATGTGTTGTCCCCCCGTGGCTCCAGGCCCCCCTTCCCCCTCCCAGTCTTTCCTGTGGCGCCTGTGGTGGTGGTGGTAGTGGCAGTGGTGTTGGTGAGCTAGTTTCAGTAGTGGTGATGGTGGTGGTGGCAGTGTTATAGCACCACTGTCAACATTCATGGATAGTTCACCCCCCTCTCCTCTCAGCTGGCGGTCTCACCCAACCTCTCCCGGTACCTAACGTGTCTTGTTCCAGTCTTTTCTATATTAGAAATGTTCTTATGTTATTATTAATGTGCTTTATTTATTCTCACTTTTATTTTTTGTTGATACACTTTTAGATAGTGTAGCTATGTTTTTCACCCTCGGCTTGGGTCGGGGGTGCAAGCGCTGTCACTGATGACGTGTGTGGCACCGTATTCCATCCATGACTAGTTTACCTCACGTTCCTCTCCGTATTTATAGCTTATATTTTGAGAGCATTTTGTGTGTATATAGCTTTTCTCCTTCACCTTCTAACACAACTTCCTCATACAGAGGTGGGAATCTCATGCCCCGATCCTTCAACTCCCTGCCCCCTCCCCAAACAGCTCCCCATGACCATAGGCTCGTGGCCAGCTTCTTCACACTTTGCTATCTTATTTTTTCCTTTTTTTATTATTTTATCTTTTTGTATAAAGTGACAACAGTAGGTTTAGGCTTCCCCTAGGTGGTGCTCTGAGCTACCCGGGACTTATTGAGAGTTTTTTACCAGCCTGTGTTTGACGTCAGTGCAGTTTTCAGTTTCTGTATGATGAGAAAAATGAGGATAGTCGTGTGTTGCTCTGAAGGTAGGCAGGTATCCATGTGGGTAGAGTACATAAATAAGTTTTGTAATTTATACCAGATGTTTCATATATTTTTAAAATATTTATTGCCGTTACTGCACTTTTTCCGTTATGGGCACGGAAGGTCTCTGCTTCTCGCTGTTGAGCTTTAATGAATCCATTGTTGCAGCCTGAGTGGCGTGGACAAGTGGCTGGATAAGGCATCTTGCCCACGCCCGCATCCCCATGCCCACATGCGACCCATTCTGTCACAAGTAGGTTGCCATGTCTGCCGCCCGCCTGCCTGCCAGCAGTATGGCAACCTCATGCCCTGGGATGCTTCTACTCAACTCTTTTGGTATTGTTTTAAATACCAGGTGTGTCAATAATAAGCATTGTTATAGGTGTGGGCATGGGGATGCAGCTGGCGTGTGATCGGTGGTGTGGACGCGACCTGCAGGCTCACTGCTGGTGTTGAGTAGGCCGCCCCTCATCCACACAGGTCACTGGTCACCCCTCATTCATCGCTCTGGGCCGGCGCCCCTTCCCCCCTGGGCAGCCATCCCCCCACTCCCCCCTCTCGCAACTGATACCTGTGTTTTTATTTGAAGAGTCTGTACAGTTCTTGTGTAATGACTAGAAATATTACTGAGGATAATAAATAATATACATGTGTTGTGATTTCTCAAACAAAATAAATAGTGTGAATTGTGTTCCTAATTACCTCTTGTTATTTTCCCCACCTTCAATATTTTTTCTTTGGATGTCCATAAATAATCATAAACACGCTTGATTATTTTGAAAAATATGCTGCAGTAGAATATTCAAACTGAGTACTGTATATTATACACTCTAGTCCATAGTGTATTTTATGAATATCTCTCTTTGAACAGTACTTATTTGATTAACCCAGAGGCTAGTGTAGTTTCTCTCACATTTTTATCTTTAAATCACTCTTAGCTGTTATTTGAGTCAATTATCCAATTTACACACATTTTCCTCTCTTTCCTTCAGCCTTTGGGATGTCTTGATCTTCAACATCACTTCCACGTACATGGTACACACATTTTATCCTTATTTTTTCATCTAAATTTCCACACATCCCTATCTTCTTACACCTCTTCAATTTTTTTTTTACTACCTGTACTGATTCCAAAATGTGCAGCACTCTACTGTACAGCATATCAATCTTCCCAGTCTTCATCTTCTGTCAGTAATGTTATAATTTACCACCACCAGTGTTACAGCATCACAAGTGTTGTGGTGCTACCAACAATGCGGCTTCAGGGAAATTAAGAACCAAGTGGACTGTGAAGAGCAACAGAAAAATATCTCTCACTTTTATGAGAGTTAATGTCACGAAATGCAAAAGGATGCACCCAAGGGCAGCTGCGTTCTTGGGCATCCCCAGGGACGGCTGGCTGTTCCAAGCCCCTAGAAGCGGTTCGAGGAGCGGACACTTCCAGGGGCGGCTCGCTGTGTAGGGTGACCTTTTTCTTCGTCCTTTGTCACACACAACCCATGCTTGTCACACCACCCATGCCTCAGTCATATCACAGGCACACCACTCATGATCCAGTCACACCACCCATGTCTCAATCACACCACCCTAGCCTCAGTCACACCACTCATGATCCAGTCACACCACCCATGTCTCAATCACACCACCCTAGCCTCAGTCACACCACCCACATGACCTGCATGAATTTTGTTTTAAGGCCAACAAACTTTTTAAAAGGCCAAACCTGACAACCCTGCTTGACCCTCGAGTACCAAGAGATGTTGGTGATGTTCGGAAAGCGTTAAAAAAAGGGGGGGGGGGGCCTCAGGGACTTTATTTAGACTCCTTACCTATTATTCACAAACTAAACAAAATTATTACTGTATAATTTATACAAAGATTACAACTAAAATTTAAATAGAAAATATAAGTACAATTTGCAATCAAAAACTTCATAAACAGACTAAAGGATTCAAGAAACTAGTAGCACATTTAATAATATAATATGAAAAATACAAAATATAATTGAGTGTGAGTCGGAGACTAAAGGGAATACCGGGTATGTGTCCCGGTCAAATATTTTCCAAAGGTATAATGGCCTGATCTTCCTGCCACCAGTACAGCCAATCACGGCCCACCTTGCATGCAGGTATTTGTCAAGTCGCACATTTCCAAGACAAATATTCTGCCTTACAGTGAAGAATAATTTATATGTGCGCACAGAGTGTATCAGAGAAAAAAGTCCCTCCGGCTTTTCAGTCTATTAATTAAATGTCTTTCTCTTAGGTAGGTTCGGTAGGTTAAGGTTAGGAACACAAATAAATTATTCCTCACTGTAAGACAGAATATTTGTCTTAGAAATGTGTGACTTGACAAATGCCAGTGTGCAAGGTGGGCTGTGATTGGCTGTACTGCTGACGGGAGGATGGTGGTGCTGAGGCCATATACATTCGGAAAATATGCGGGTAGGATGTTTTCCCTGGTATTCGATGGTAGAAGTATGCAAGATAATCATCACAAGGGACACTTCATCCTTTGGAATTAATTCAATCCCTATTAGTTGGATCTTTGTCCTAGAGATGGTTGCTGGAAAACTTGACGTCTGTAGATAGGTAGAGGGCTATTGCTTGTAATGCTGAGTGGGAGGACAGGGATTAGGATTGGAAGTACTTTGGATGCAATTTGGGGGATGGGAGAGGACTGGCTTAAGATCAAGGTAAAAGAGGGAGGAAAATTGAAGGAAAGTAAGAGATTAACAGTATCCGGGCTCAACCAGATATGCTGAGGTTATAATAATTATATTTGAATTTACATCTTGCGTGATTAGGTTCTAGATCTGAAGCCTTTTTCATTTAGTTAAAAATATGTTTATTTTTGCAGTTGCCACTGGTGTGTCGGCTGTTTATTTATTTCACACCTTAACGTTGGCTCGGTGAAGTAGCGGTAAATTTAAACATGGTTCCAAACGCTGGCCACCATTATGTTGTTTGTGGGGAAAAGACAGGAAATAATAGAGAGCTAAGGTTTCACTACTTCTCGAAAGACAGTAAAGGTTAAGTTAATAGTTATGTGGTTGATTCATAAGTAGTGACGGTTAAATTACAGTTTAATTTATCATTTCACTATACTGCCAGACTGGGGTCACTAACCCTAAGGGGGAAAACTTAAATCTAATCTTAATTTCTAAGGGTCGCTGCCACCAGACCCCTTCTGGACAGCATGTAGCTCGTTAGGTAGCGTGCAGAGTGGACTAGGCCTCGGGTTAGGTTTTTCATTGACCAGATCGATAAGGGGAAAGAAGGGTGAAACCACAACCTGTCTTAGTCCTTTCAAATGTTCCTTCTACTCACTTCAGTTCATTTTTGGTACTACCTAACCACAGTTCTTCTTGGTAGCATGTCGATGGTCTAGGCACATGGGTAGTGTAATTCTGATATCAGGGTCACTTGGACGGAAATAAAGGTAACTACTGTGGGAGAAATGAATACTCCTAAAATTCTCAAAGAACAAGTTTATTAATATAAAATCAAAGGGGAAAATAGATGTTATTAACATATAACTACCAGGCTCAACTCCTGGGCCTATTGCAGACTCTGTATTCCTTATTTACTTATTTACTCAACAGCAATTACTCAGATATTACTCTTACAGTGCACCCTCTTACTGGTGTCACATTACATTACATAGCAGGACCAGTTCCTTGTCCTTACTCACAATACACTAATACTGATACAAACACCGACATGGGTCCACCACCCAACATGGGGTAATTATTAACAAACACATACAACCACACTGTGGACCATAACTCCAAGGCCTGTCCCAGGGTATAGCACTGGCGCCTCTAACAACTACTGTTGTGGTCGGTTACACTCCGACACGAGGTGGGTCTGGGGTCCTCGGCCCACGAGGTAGAGTGGAGCTGATAAATCATGCCGAATCAGCACCATCACTCCTATATTGACCACTGCTGGGTATCCACCGGCTCCGAGCGACCGGTGGGTTTCAATTAAGCCCAGCCTCGATCTGGGAACGAAGGTGAAAGATGATATGGGAGGTTTATTCCTCCCGCCTCTCACTGGTTTATATACCCCCAAGTTGCCAGCGATCGCTACTCACGCAATGACAAATTACAAACAATCTAAGTGCTACTCATTCAAGGATGACCCTCACTTGACAAAGAAAGGTCTGGCGAATTACTAAAGTTGATTTACACAGACTAATTCAAGGTTGCGTTTGCCAGTAGAGTGCAATAAACGTAGTGACAACTGTGTTCGAAGGCGGGACTTACTGGGAGTGATCCTGAGGGTAAAACAGATGGGAAAAACACGTCTCTCCTGAGATTCTACAAGCGCGGTGGATTTGAATGTTATGTAGCGTAATATGAATTAAAATGGGTATTTAGGAATGACAATGATGTGCGCAGTACATCACCACTTAGTCGACATCCGGGTGGCAGGTCTCTTATTTGTTTCTTTGTTGTGAACTTGATTGTCCAGCAGCACAGATCGAGTAAATCCCACATATTTATAGTCATTTCCAGTGTAATTTTGTCTCTTCAAATGTACAATTAGAAATATAGGAAACCAGTAAAAAAAGTAGGAGCACGGTTTGTTTACATAATAATCTACGTGCGATATAGTGGTCAGTGTGTTGCAGACAACCGGTCTATGAGGCTGTAACATTTTCCCTTTTCATTTCCGAAAAAATTGTGTTGCATAACTGGAAGGAGGAAACAAAACTACCTATTTACTAACGATAAAAAGATGGGTTACTCAGTGGGTCTTAAATTGCAATTTGACGAGTCATTTGAAAGCACATATCCACTCACATGATAAATTTGTATTATATCTGTAGATACGGGCCTACTTACAGTGCCAATACAGGAGCAAATACCCAACCCCAGCATTTTCCTTTATCATGGAAGGAAAATGCTGTAATAATCGACATCGTGCTTGAGCAGTTGTTTCGTGTTTGTAATACAGTATACATTTCCAATTTTAGTTGTGACAGAATTTAAAGATAACCCACAGTTAAAAAGTCTTAGTAATTTAATTGAGTGGTACAGTACTCTCCAGGTTCTTTACGTTCAGCCACCTTAACTTTCATTTCACTTGATAGGTGATGCTCTTATTTATCATTACAGATGTATCGACTGGCCAAGCAAGCTGAATATGTTATACTTAGGCCTACATTTCAAGTTATTCCGGGTACTCCAGTTTCCTCCTGTACTATCACTGGGCAATATAGTCCTTAACAATATTAAAAGAACAAACAAACCGGCCGAACGGCTAATTTGGTGATAAGTAGTGGTAATAAATAATACAAATTGATAATTAAATGAATGCCGATGGTATCGAAAGTAAAATCAGCTGGAAATACTAGAATTAGTGGTAAAAAATCTTACGTTTCTCGAGAACACCAAACACCATTTTCTATGATTACTTGTATATATATCCCATAGATTGCGCTAGTGTCGGAACCTAAAGAAAATATAAGGGAGTTAGTTCCTTCTAATATTCTTTGATTCATGTGAAATTACTCTTGTTTCAGTTGTTTGTAGAAAACGTTGAGTCGCATCCACAATCCAATGACTGTTAACACTCTGGGCACTCAAGTTTTTACTGTGTTTGCTAGAACGCTTTCATCTTTCATTATGTCGGCTAGCAAGTGAATTTGTGTGTTGGTAAGCAGCCCTAGGAGTAGGAAGAATGTTAGT